TTTTTCAAAACAACTTAGGGCTCATACATATGGGCACTGGATGCAGAAATCCATGATCCCTCCCCTGCATGCTCATTGTTGAGGAGGCACTGTGAGAAGCATTGCACTTGAATAGCTAGTATGTCTCAGATATTACATTGAGGGTCACAGAATGTGATGCTATGCCCCATCAATGGGCAAAGGGAGATAGGCACCAAACACTATCTGTTTAAGACACAATCATCTTGTCCATTCAAGGCAAACTATCTTGGTTAAGTCCACCACCCTTCCTTTAGACCTCCTGATACCTTTCAGCCAGCACCATAGTCTATGGAGAATGGTGTCATCTTTCCTTTGGTCACATTGCTCCTCCATTCCTAGAAGCAACTGAAGGGGAAAAATGAGAACCATTTTGTGTATTGAAACCCTTTTGTGATATAACTGGTTTTCCTAACACCCTGTAATATACTGGTTTTCCAAACCCTCTGTAAAATCACTGTGTTTCTATTTCTCTGTAATTTGTCTTTGCATGAGAAACTCCATATGTCCTGAGGGAAAGAACTTCATACCCAAGGACGAACTGGCAGAACAAGTGAAACATGACAACTATCTGGAGATGACCAGAAGACCAATAGCAGATGCTGATTCTAAAGCATTCTATGGTCTGACCAGTTAGTGAGGTTCCCATCCCCATTTATACTTTAAAAACTGTATTCATGGCCATAGCTGGCACCCTTTTAAATACACTGCAGTATTGTATTTGCTCTCTTTGCAATCGCATGATAATAAACTAGTTTTTATTTTTTTCTGTGGTTTCACTGGTCAACATTATTGAAACCCAAAAGGTTTCCCCATCACCCCAAGTATTGTCTGCAACATTTTGGCCATATAGTGTACCTCCCCAGTCACGTGCCTCATACTGCCTTTGCAAATCCAGACTTCTAGAAAGTCAAAGGCACACCTGCCCCACTTTGTATTGCAATCTGGTGGAAGCGCTGTCCTTGCTTAGGGTATTTTTTGGCCATCCACTCAGAGGGAAAGGCTCCTGTTTTCTCTCTCTTTTTGGGTTTAGTTGTTGGCCTGTGGATGGAGATGCGCATGGTTTATGTCCATATTAAGCTCGAAAGAGCAGGGCCCTCGATCCCCTCATGTTTTGCATTGTATTGGTATTGTTCTGTCACATGTTCTGTCCCCCTTTGTAATGTACAGCGCTGAGCGAACCAATGGTGCTTTATAAATACTGTATAATAATAATAATAATATTAACAGCATATGATTTATGCTCTAATGAAATTAAATTTGGATACTGATCTATCTGTATACATGTGGCCAAAAGACATGCAGTGCAGCAATCCAGGTTGCCAGTGGTCTGATTCCCTGAGTAATGCATCAATTCACAACACTGTGAAGGGGTCATGTCAAACCAGTGGAGACTCGGATGGCTGAGCTCTGTATGGCAGCAGCAGTCCAGCTTTCCAACATGCTGTCAGCACAGCACAGAGCTTCTTATTGTTTTAATCACATAAAAAAAATAAAATGCAATATTATTTATGTGTTATGCAGCCAAACTTTTGACAGTTTCTGTACTTTTCTCAACACAGGTATAAAAATTGAGATCCCCTCTTCGACCTGAGCACAGTAGCCTTATTAATGGATTGTAATTGATGAGGAAACTGCTGATTCTATAACCTACCATCACGCCACCTCCTATAGAGGAGTGAAAGGATTAAAAACTCTCCCTATACTCTAAGATGTGCCTCTCACCACAAGAGGGGCTGTTTATAGCCTCCTAGCAGTCCTAAAACAGTCTACTAATCTCAGCAACACTTTTAGTTATCAAGGTACTCAAACTAAATGATATCTAAAGTCAGCGTGGTGGTTATATGACCTTTGCTGTTGGTATACAACACTAGGGTCCTTGAGTTTACTTGCCGCTAGAGACACCACCTGTACTTTTACGGGTTTTTGCTCAGTATGACTTGTGCTGCTGAGAACTTTGACAGTTAAATGGCACCACAATACTTGCAGCTGCAGAGGTCAGTGGTGGTTTGCTTCACAACTCATATACTCGTAAGACTATTTAATTATTTGAATGTTCATAGCCTGGCCATGGGTTCATTTTATTTTGGGAATACTAAAAGGTAAGCTTTTACAGGATAGAAAAAGATTTATAGAAGTCCTCCAAACTTCTGGGTAAATCAAGAGCTATAAGCCAGCGGTGTGCAAGCATAAAAAAGTAAGCAAAGATTCTCATATGAGTAGTTCCTAGCTACCCCCAGAATGGACATCTGGCAACACAAAAGTTTGGCAAAACTATTGGACATAAATTGCATGCATGCCAGGATGTTGCTTGCCCTTCACACAGGTTTCCCACCTATCAACTCCAACCATGTGACATTATTATTATCATTATTAATAGGAAAATAAAAGCTGGAATGCTCTACTGGATGACAGCTACCATGGACCATCATATGAAGAACTGTCATAAGCTGTACAGCCCATCAAGCACCAGCCTGGAGAGGTAAAAGATTGCATGTCTTTTGATACTTGAGTCTTGTAACGCCTCTCAGCTGTCTCTTTCCTATTACATAGCATCCACAATTTATGCAGCACTTTACATTCACATCAGTTCCTGCCCCCTTGAGGAGCCTACGATCTCACATGCATACATACACACAAATACTAGAGCCAATTTTGAAAGTAGCAAATTAACCTGCCAGCATGACTTTGCAGTGTGAAAGGAAATCAGTACACCAAGAAGAAATGCTCACAAGCACAGGAAGAACATGCAACCTCCATACAGATATTTTCATTATGAGGATCTGAACTAGGGATATCGGTGCGCAGGGCTGTGCTACCCAGCTAAAATCATGTTAACAATTCTGCAAAAAGTTTGGAGTTTTCACTTGATTAGCCCAATCAAGCAAAAATCTAGTTTCTATGGGAATTCTTTATGATCAGCAGTGACTGACTGGCCAAACTTCAATCCATGTATGGATAGGGTGGTTGTACGACCAGCCTGTCAGGTTTTTCCCAAACGATCAGTGCTACCAGCATTGTTGGCAACACTGATTAGTGTGTTCTGATGGCAAGAAGGCTCCTCGTCGTCAGAACACTATAGCACAGTGAGAGTGATTTCCCCATCCACCTCGAATGTATGGATGGAGGAATCAGGTCATTATTTTTTCGTTCAGATGACCAGTCTAATGCTTAGGGGAGACAATCAATTCTGTCCTGATAGTGTTTGAAATTAATTTTACTGTTTATTTCCCCATCTTGCCTCTTTATTCACATAAAATAACTTCTGTTAAGCAAATTTTGCTGTTATTGGGGTTGCAGGACAATTAGTGTGTCTGATGATGGCCATACTAAGTCTGCACCTCCAGCCACTCTCCTTATTCCTATATTTGTTGTCATAAAATATTGATGCTGCAGGGGTGGCATAACAGCCAGTCAACCAGCAATTTCAGAAGAAAAGGTCAATGCCTATATTTTTCTGATGACGGGTGTCCTTTGGCCAGCCTTTCCATAAAACTCTATCTTTTTTTCCTGGAGGTGGAATGCCTTTCGGAACAATGGAGTTATTAGCAAATGATTAGTTTATCTTATCTGTATTTTGTTCTAGGCACAAAGAAAAGAAGTTTCAGTGAGTACAGACATCATCTGGCATTCAAGCAGATAATAAGTATATACACTATACAGCCAGTGTTTTATATAACTGTTACTGTTTACAGAGAATGTATTTCCACCTAGCGGGCTGCATTCTCTGCTCATCAAACGCTGTTGGATTTAATGCGAGGTGAGCGTGTTAACATATGCCCTGATCACAGCAAGCAGAACTCATCTGTTGTGTTGCATTTGACAATATTGTGGATTCTGCAGGCACTATAATAAACACAATACAACCAATGCATTCTTCTGGCTACAAACAGTGTACACACACATCAGTTATATCTTACATTGCATTAACATGTATGTCTAGCCAATTTTTTTTTTTAACTTTGGATGGAGCAGGGAGAAGTTTTTTACTACTATCCTGGGCTCTGTTAAAGAGACCCTTTTGCGCGACTAATAATCTCAGCAAAAATATTGTTGTATTGTTGTAGCAAACTGGGGGTGCTCATTGGAGTTTGTTATAGGCCACCCCGTGTTAATGAGGAGGTGGAGACTCAGCTCCCTGCACAGATAGAAAGAGCTGCAAGGGCTGGCACAGGGATGATAATGGGGGATTTAAACTACCCTGATATTGACTGGAGTAATGACACTGCTGAAATAGTTAAACGGCAAACATTTATAAATCTATTACAAGACAATTCTATGATACAGTTCATAGAGGCCCCAACTGGAAATGATGCTCTGCTGAACCTGTTGAACCATGCAGAGTTTATTACTAATATTTATTTAAAAGAACATCTGGGTATCAGTGACCATAACATGATTTCATTTAATGTGGGCTATAAGCAACAAACACATACTGAAAAGATAAAGGCACTTAACTTTAAAAGAGAAAATTTTCCAAGGCTGAGGGCTGCTCTCCAAGACTTAGACTGGGAGGGAATTTTGGTATTGCTGAACACAGAACAGAAATGGGAATTCTTCAAAACCACTCTTTGCAAACACACTGCAGAATACACTATATTGCCAAAAGTATAGGGAAGCCTGCCTTTACACGCACATGAACTTTACTGCCATCCCAGTCTTAGTCCGTAGGGTTCAATATTGAGTTTCCCCACCCTTTGCAGCTATAACATCTTCAACTCTTCTGGGAAGGCTGTTCACAAGGTTTAGGAGGGTGTCTATGGGAATGTTTGACCATTCTTCCAGAAGCACATTTGTGATGTCAGGCACTGATGTCAAACGAGATGGTCTGGCTCGCAGTCTCCGCTCTAATTCATCCCAAAGGTGTTCTTTTGGGTTGAGGTCAGGACTCTGCAGGCCAGTCAAGTTCCTCCACCCAACTCACTCATTTATGTCTTTATGGACCTTGCTTTGTGCACTGGTGTGCAGTCATGTTGGAACAGGAAGGGGCCATCCCCAAACTGTTCCCACAGAGTTGGGAGCTTTGAATTGTCCAAAATGTCTTGGTATGCTGAAACCTTAAGAGTTTCCTTCACTGGAACTAAGGGGCCAAGCCCAACCACTGAAAAACAACCCCACACCATAATCCCCCCTTCACAAAACTTTTTTTTTACATTTGGCACAATGCAGTCAAGCAAGTACTTTTCTCTTGGCAAACGTCAAACCCAGACATGTCCATCAGATTGCCAGACAGAGAAGCGTGATTCCTCACTCCAGAAACCATGTCTCCACTGCTCTGGAGTCCAGTGGTGGCGTGCTTTACACCACTGCATCCAACGCCTTGCATTGCAGTTGGTGCTGTAAGACTTGGATGCAGCTGCTCGGCCATGGAAACCTATTCCATTAAGCTCTCTACACTCTGTTGTTGTGCTAATCTGAAGGCCACATGAAGTTTGGAGGTCTTTAGCTATTGTTGCTGATGTTTCCAGTTGATCCCACTTTGTTATAATACCACTAACAGTTGACCGTGGAATATTTAGTAGCAAGGAAATTTCACGGATGGACTTATTGCACAGGTAGCAACCTATCACGGTACCATGCCTAAATTCACTGAGCTTCTGAGAGTGACCCATTCTTTCACAAATGTTTGTAGAAGCAGTCTGCATGTCTAGGGGCTTGATTTTATACACCTGTGGCCATGGAGGTGATTGGAACATCTGAATCCAATGATTTGGAGGGGTTTCTCAACACTGTTGGCATTATAGTGCATATCCCCTTGTGCAATAAGTTTAAAAGGCTAAAAATAAAACATATGTGGCTCACGGCCAAAGTTAAAAAAAAGCTATAAATAATAAGCAAAGAGCTTTAAAAAAATATAAAAATGAAAGAACACTATCATCGTTTAAGGGTTCCAAAGAATACAACTGAATATGTAAAAAGAAAATCAAGGCTGCTAAAATTCAAAATGAACGACAAAAGAAAGTAGGGTAAACACCCAAAAATTCTTCAAACATATTAACAGTAAAAAGTTCAGGTTCGAGCATGTAGGCCCTTTACAAAATAATCTAGAGTGGGTGACTGGGGACAAAGAGAAGGCAAATTTATTAAATACCTTCTTCAGCTCTGTGTATACAAATGAGCATGGGGGAGCTCATGTTCATAATGGTGATTATATTGACACATACCCCAAATGATCCACAATGGCTCAGAATTGATATGATCCAGAATTATTTAGACAGAATAAAGGTGAATAAGGCTCCTGGACCAAATGGCATACACACACGGGCCCTAAAAGAATTTAGCTCTGTCATTTCAAAGCCATTGTTTCTAATATTTAGAGACTCTTTAATGACTGGCATAGAACTACTGCATTGGCGTAAGATCAACGTGGTGCCTATATTTAGAAAGGGATCATAGTCTTTACCAAGTAATTATAGGCCGGATAGTTTAACTTCTATAGTTGGGAAGATGTTGAAGAGTTTAATAAAAGACCACATAGATGAGTTCTTGGTGGGAAAAAATATGTTAAACAACAGACAGCATGGATTCATGGAAGACAGAAGTTGTCAAACAAATCTGATTTTTTTTTGATGAGGAGGTAAGCAAGACCTTGGACTGAGGTGTGGCTGTGGACGTGGTATACTTGGATTTTGACACAGTTCCCCACACACGGATAATGTGTAAGGTAACGTCTACAGGCTTGGAAAAATAAGTTTGTAAATGAATAGAAAACTGGCTAAAAGATCATATTCAGAGAGTAGTGGTTAATGATTCATACTCTGAATGGTCTGGGGTGTCAGTGGTGTACCCCAAGGTTCAGTGTTGGGACCCTTACTTTTTAATATATTTATAAACAATATAGGGTCTGGGATTGTAAATTCCATTTCAGTCTTTGCAGATGACACCAAGCTGTGCAGTGGAATAACGTTCTTACAGGATGTCTTCATCTTACAGGTTGATCTCAATGCACTGTTTAATTGGGCAGCTAAGTCGCAAATGAGGTTTAATGTTGATAAATTTTAAATTATGCGCTCGGGGGTTAAGAATATGCATCATACATATTAAGGGAAGTACAACTGGGGGAATCAATGGTGGAGAAGGATCTGGGTGTTCTGGTAGATCTTAAGCTTAGTAATGGCATGCAATGCCAAGCTGCAGTTTCCAAATCGAGTAAAATCTATTTGGAATATGGAGTTCAGTTTTGGGGACAAATTCACAAAAAGGATATCGGGGAACTGAAGAAAGTGCAGAGAAGGGCAACCAAACTGATAAGAGGCATGGAGGAGCTCAGCTATGAGGAAAAACTAGAGGAACTGAATTTATTCTCTTTTGAGAAGAGGAGATTAAGGGGGGATATGATCAACATGTAAAAGTACATAGGTGGTCCATATGATGAACTTGGTGTAGAGTTATTTACTTTAAGGTCTGTAGTTCTGGTGAAAAAGGGATTTAACCTCCAAATACTCAAAGGGTTCCTCACAGTTAAAGCTGTAAAAATGTGGAAAAGACTCCCTCAAGTTCTAGGTCTGGTCAGCTCAGTAGATTGTTTTAACAAACGCCTGAATTCTTTCCTAGATGCACAGAATATAACTGAATACTAATATGGGTAAAGTTAATCCCGGGAATATCTGATTGCCTCTTGGAGGATCAGGAGGGAATTGTTTTCCTTGCTGGGGCAAATTGGATCATGCTTTATTGGTTTTTTTTTGCCTTCCTCTGGATCAACTGCGGATATAGGATTGTGTATACAGTATTGTATCATTTCTAATAAACACAAGAAATTGACGTGGCGCTGCCCCTATCATTGATTACAATGGCAATGAGAAACAAATGTGCACACTCGTGCTATAGTACACCTCCCTCTAAAACAAAAAAACTTTGGTGCATGGAACACTAGGCTGCAATGTGAATTAAAAAAATCTTTATAATTAGTGATCCACTATGACCTAAATTATAAATGAAGGATCTGTGACTTATGAAAACAGTAAAATACCACACATTATAGTGCACCTCCCCCTAAACATGCAATACCTTATAAATGTGTATACCACATTAATAAATCACAATAGAGTACATAACATTGTGAGTGAATAAAAACATGTGGTATATCCACAAAAAAGTCTTTGAATCTTGTTAGTGAATACAATCCAATCTGCAATTGGGGTCTAAAATTGCGGTGAATAAGGGGGAGCACACATGAGCACAATTTTATGTCACCAATACTTATGGACAATGTCAGTTCACTTCACACAGAGAGCACTGGATGGTAAATGGCACTCAATGTCAGATGTCAAAGCGTATACTGAGATGATCAGATGCCAGATTGGATTGCATCAGGGGCGGACTGACAACTCATGGGGCCCCCGGGCAATAGGGGATCATGGGGCCCCTGTGTCCTTGCCCAAACTCAAAAAGGCCTATGAAAAAGGTACCTGGGGCATCTCATGGGGCCCCCTAATGGCCTCGGGCAGTGCCCGAGTTTCCAAATGGTCAGTCCGCCCCTGGATTGCATTCACTCACAGGATTCAAAGAGCTCAGATAACCAGACATATAGCACAGGTATTTATCTTGTGTGTTATAGATGTTTTTTCTTGCTGGATCTCATCCTTTGTGTCACCCTTTCTACATCTGCTTAACCACTTGCCCTCCAAAGGATTTCCCCCTCCATTCCTGACCAGGCCATTTTTTGCGTTAGGGTGCGGTGTTAATTTAACTGACAATTGCGTGGTCATGCAACTCTGTACATAAATGAAATTTATGTCATTTTTTCCAACAAATAGAGCTTTCTTTCGGTGGTATTTGATGACCTATGCATTTTTTTTTTTTGCGCTATAAACAAAAAAAGACCGACAATTTTTAAAAAAAAAAAAAACAATATTTTTTACTTTTTGCTAGGAAACATCCCATAAAAAATTTTAACAAATCTAATTTCTTTATAAATTTAGGCCAAAATGAATTCTGCTACATGTCTTTGCTAAGAAAAAATCCCAGTAAGTTTAAATTTATACTAGTAATGGCAGCGATCAGCGACTTATAGCAGGATTGTGGCGGGCATTCTGACACTGGGTGGGAACTAACTGCCACTGACATCCCCAGTGACACCAATACAGTGATCAGTGCTAATAAAAAGCACTCGCATTGTACGAATGACACTGGGTAGGAAGGGGTTAACATCTTGGGCGATTGAAGGGTTAACTGTGTGCTGTGTGTGTTTTACTGTGTGCTGTGTTTTACTAGGGAGACATGCTGCTTTGTATTGCTTTGCTGTGCAGAGAGATCTACGCTGACAGGAGAGAGACCTGTGTTGTTTACACACAGGTCTCTCTCCTGTCAGTGTTCCCCTATGATCGCTGAGTGCTGGCCGGGAATCGCTGGCCGGGACCCAGTGATTGACATCTCTAGCCGCCAATAGCAGAATTACAAAATCACGTATATATACGTGATTTTGAGCAGCCCTGCCGCCCTGTAGCAGTACTTCTCCTATAGGGCGGAGGGCAAATTGTTTTTAAAGTATCACCAGTCATATTCAAATTCCACATTTCCAAGGTCAGGTTCAATCTGATTGTTGGCTGTCAAAACAGTTTTTAGCACTGAGGCTTTCTGCATGAGACACAGGAAGCAGCCTACAGAGGGTGTGTCAAAGAGAAGTTTTCCATTATAAAAATAAAAACAGGTGGTTGAGTTGCAATTTTACTGCCCCCCAGCCACGTATCAGAATTCCAGCATTTCAGCCTTACAAAGCTGTACACATGCTGCAGTTTCTGCATTTTAACTTGCACTGCAGAATTTGACAGGTGGCACCGCCCACTGGGATCAGCAGGGCTGCACCACAACCATGAGGCAAATGCTTGCCTTACAGTTGCGACGTGGTCCTGCAATGTAAAATTGACGTACGAGAAATTAAAATAAGAAAAACAGGTTTCAGGAGCTTCAGGAACTTGGATCTTGTTGCAATTACAGAGACGTGGTTCAAGGATTCAGATGACTGGGAAATAACTATGCCAGAGTATACACTATGCAGGAAAGGGAAGGGGGGAGGTGGACTTGCCATATATGTCAAAAATAGCATAACGCTGACATTAATTAAAAAAACAAATAAAATACTAGAAACCCTCTGGGTCTGTCTTCCAACCAGAGAGGGATCTTCCCTTAGAGTTGGTGTAATATACAGACCCCCCTAGGACAGACTGAAGATTATAATAACTTATTGATTGACGAGATAACTCAAAAGGCAATGAAGGGAGAGGTTTTGGTTATGGGTGACTTCAGCATGCCTGATATTAACTGGAATTCTCAAACTGCTATTACAAGCAGGAGCAGGGATGTAATGGAAGCACTGAATGGGGTTATTCTAAAACAGTTAGTAAAGAGTCCAACCTAAGGTGATCATATTCTAGACCAGGGCTTGAAAAAGCTGCTCACCTGCTCGCCAAAAGCCTCATAATGAAGCTGCGTTCCGGTTTCCGACTTCTTCGGCACCGCCATTACACTGGCAGCGCCGATGAGGGGACAGGTGCAGGAGAGGTCCGCTCTCCTCTGCTGAGAGGAGACACCCACTCTCCACTACCGCGGGGGACTCGAGGAGAAGTCCGCTCTCCCCTGCCATGGAGGACACGAGGAAAGGACCGCTCTC